GGCCCCTGCCGGTGCCCGTTAGCTGCCTCAGGAGTCCCACGAGCCAACCATGCTCGAAAGGACTCCTTCTTCAGCTTAACGGCATCCCTTACTTCCGGTGTCCACCACTGGGTTTGGGGATTGCCACCGCGACAGGCACCGGAGACCTTACGGTCACAGATCCGAACGGGCGCAATGACAATGGAGGTGGAGAACACGGTCCACTCGGACTCAATGTCTCCAACCTCCCCCGGGATCTGGTCAAAGCTTGGCCAGAGGTGGGAGCTGAAGATCTCTCTGACAGGGAGTTCTGCTAAACGTTCCCAACAGACCCTCACAATATGTTTGGGCCTGCCGAGTCTGTCCAGCTTCCTCCCCCACCATCGGATCCAGCTCACCACCAGGTCAGGTTGACAGCTTCGCCCCTCTCCTCACCCGAGTGTCCAAGACATAAGGCCGGAGGTCAGATGAAACAACCACAAAGTCGATCATCAACCTCCGGCCTAGGGTGTCCTGGTGCCACGTGCACTGATGGACACCCTTATGCTTGAACATGGTGTTTGTTATGGACAAACTGACTAGCACAGAAGTCCAATAACAGAACACCACTCGGGTTCAGACTGGGGGGGCCGTTCCTCCCAATCACACCCCTCCAGGTGTCACTGTCGCTGCCCACGTGAGTCCCCCAGTACAACAACGGAGTCCCCAGTTGGAGTGTTTTCCAGCACCCTTCCCAGGGACTCCAAGAAGGCCGGGTACTCTACACTGCCATTCGGCCCATAGGCACAAACAGCAGTAAGAGCCCTATCCCTGACCCTCTCATTCACCAGGGTAAACTCCAACACATGGCAGCTAAGCTGGGGGGCTATAAGCAAGCCCACCCCAGCCTGCCGCCTCTCATCATGGGCAACTCCAGAGTAGTGGAGAGTCCAGCCTCTCTCGAGGAGTAAGGTTCCAGAGCCCAAGCTGTGCATGGAGGTGAGCCCGACTATATCTAGCCGGTACCTTTCAACCTCCTGCACAAGCTCGGGCTCCTTCCCCACCAGCCTATTTAATGTAGGCTATTTTATGTTTTCTGTGGGTTTACCCTCAGATCAGTAAAGTCTGGTTTTACTTCTTGGAGGACAGTTGACGTTAAAACCAGTGAAGCTCAATCTGTTCTCTTAGAAAATATCATTTGTACTATTTATTCAAAGTTTTTACAGTTTTTTCTGAAACGAGATATCAGCTGTTCATTCTGCTTAATACAGTATCTATGTGGGCCATTTTACTGTTTGTCTTTTGACTTTATTGTTTAAACTATAAAACTGAAGAATGATGTTCCGTTTATGGGCCCAGTACAAATATACAACAAAACAATACATCGACTACTACAAATAGTGTACAATTACTGTTACATGTTACTTTGTGGAAATGAGTCATCAATTCTAAACGCACCGCCGAACAGGGCACGGAGTCACTACAGACCCGTGCCAGATTGCAGGCTATTACATCTGTATGCGTGTCTATATATTTAAATAGAGAGAGGGAGAGTGTGGGATAACGGGACACGCAGCGATGTGTCCGTTGTTTGGGAGTGTCTTTGTCGTCCTGCAGTAGGAAACACCCCGTTGCAACACCCACACTGCAGCACACACGCGCGCGAAACTCGCACACTGAGCTGCAGTGCGATGAAGTACATCTGTGTGTCTGGTGATCAATAGCAAGGTGATGATCACTCCAATCGCTGATCAACAACCTGCTTCTCCTCTTCTGTAAATAAAAGCAGAAGTTTTTTTACCTGTCCTCCCGCAAGACGCTCGTCCTCTTCCTCCGCTGATCGGACGTTTTTTTCCAACTACATCATCGGTCTTTAAGACGCACGGCGGCATGCCGGTGACGTCATGACGCACGGTACAGACCCAGCAGTTTTTTTTTATTAAGGAGCCCGTGGCGCTTCAGAGGGGAAGAGAGGAGAGGAGAGAGGAGGAGAGGAGGAGAGGAGAAAGGGAGAGGGGAGAAGGGAGAGGAGGCGACAGGAAAGGAGAGGAGAGGAGAGGAGAGAGCAGGAAAGGAGAGGGGAGAGGAGAGAGGAGGAAGGGACAGGGGAGAAGGGAGAGGAGAGGAGAGGAGAGGAGAGGAGAGGAGAGGAGGGGACAGGAGAAGGGAGGAGAGGGGGGAGGAGAGGAGAGGAGCTAAGAGCATCATGGGGCCCCACAACTTCTTCTCCATTTAATTACCTGCTCAATCATTCTCAGGTTAAAGTAACTGAAACCATAAATTGAATACGTGAATAATTCTTAAAAACTGTAAGTGCGAGGACTAGAGGGTGGCATTGGACCTATGCATTGCTAAATGGATCAGAAGTACAAGAATTTCTAAAATACACATTTAAAAAAATGATTAGATATGACTTTTAGCTAAGAAACAGAAACTTATAAGCATTTTCATTAACAGAAGCATTTATCAAAAATGAGTGAAAGTCACTCTAAACAGAAAACTAAGTCTCAGCACTGAAGCAGTAAAACTATTCTCCAAGAGTTGACCCCAGCACAAATAAAGATGCCCAGCATGCTTGACTCTTTTACAGTGTTGACCCTGTGTACATGCCCTGTTCAGAGTTCTATGATGTGCAGTGGTGGGCTTTTAGACTTGATGTAAACAAGTGGTCCCGGATTGACAGGCTCATCCTGGTGTGAGTGTTCTGATGGACATTTAGTTCACCTGAAGTACTAAAAGTTTTCCCACACTCACACCATATGGTGGGGAAGAAGGGGAAAAAGGGGGGAGAAAATGGGGGAGAGAAGAGAGAGGAATTCACAGGATCGCAGGTTCGAATCCAGCGCTGGTAAAAGTAAAACTCGGCATCTTTTTTTATAAAGTGCTGTGAAGATATTGTGGAGCATTAAATATAATTCCCTGCCCTGTTTTAAAGATATTTATGACAGTAAAAACTGATTTTTGCAGAATCATGCCAGAAGCTTTGATTATTATTTTGCACTATACTGTTACTAGGTTAACATAAAAGACAAGACACCAGTTTACTCAGAATAGATTTATTCAACAATGAAACATAATAAAACAATGTCACAGATCTTAATTGTATATGATACATTTGTGAAACAGCTACTAATAATATTCCTCTTGAAACAGAAAAAGGTATGGTATAAAAAGGAAATGTATAAAAGCAAGTAAAAATGTAACAGTAAGGTCCCAGTTTATATGCACAAAGAAAATGATTAGAACACCAGGAAAGAACAAGAATTAACTTTCAATTAAGTGGTAACTCAAATATGAATGGCTGTAACCCACTGTGCTGTACCTTTAGCAACTCCAGCCAGTTTTTTGGTGATCTGAAAATAAATAAGCCAGTAATCAGTACAATCTATCTGAAAACAGGTGTCAAGTGACATATAGCAAGTGACACACACAACAGCCAAACATACTGTTGTTGCATTTGTTGCTTTCCAAATAAAATTTGCCTTAATGTATCATCGGTTTTAAATGTAATTTATTAAGCTCTTCTCAAGGGTAAGCATTTCATTATCCTAGGGTTCTGCATGCTATCAAAACATTTGATTCTTATGTATAAGTATTAATAATGATTTAACTAAATACACAGGTATGTTTTAAAAATGTTTGTTGATGCAAGGACAACATTAACTTTTAGGGTCTTATATACTGATGCTCTAAAACTTTACAGCTGCTGCCTTAACCTTTTTGGTGGAATCCAGCTTCAGAATAGAGCCATATGTCGAGGTGATGTTGGCTTTGATATCCTCCAATCTGTTGAAAATCTGTTGAGGATATCTTGGCTGTACACTGTGAGGAGCCACTTGTAGGTG